CCCCAAAACCCCAAAACCCCAAAACCCCTTAAGCAATCATACTTAAACATTTTAAAATGATAAATTATATTTCAAACTAATACAAACGATCAATAACTTTATAATTATTCATTCATCCTTTAAACATCAACATTATTTACTAAGTGCTCTTTTATCACAATTTCCTGCTCTCCACTGAAGAATTACTACTTCCTCATTAGACCGTTACTTTGGCTTACTGTTTAAGATTATATGTCTTGTTGAAGCTCCTTAATACTGACAACTGAACCGTTTCCTCCATCAGAGGCCCTGTCAAAATCAATATTATTCACCTAGGTCTGGGGGATATGCACTGCCACAATTTTACCAGGTGAGTTGAAACTATGATTAGGACTGTTTATATCTATGCCATTATAGAATGCCAATTAACTTGGAGTCTAATTGAATCCCATAATGGGTGATGTACTCTGCTACTTATTAGATCTATATTGCAGACCAATCACATATTGATTTTTCTTCTAGACATAGTCTAATTTCAACTGTTATGCAAAAAATTAGGGAGGAAATCTAGACTCCTGATCCCTTAAAAGCCTTGAATATAAATTCTGCTAGTGTTAATTAATATTCTTGCTTAAAGCCCTGAAAGATTTGCTAAGCAAGCTCTTTTTACTTTTTTTAGGCTTAACTTCAACTTAATTTTTACTGTTAAGATTATTTATAGCCTAATTAAGTTTTTTACTATGAATTGGGTTTCCAACAGTTTTTGGCCTACTATCATAATTATTATTGTCACTCACTAGAGGATTTTATAGTACATGAGGATAATTTAATTTCTTTTCCTATTAGTTATACAACTCTTCCTACAACTTTTCTATTCTTCTTTAATGCTAGCTGGCCATATTTATCTGTTTTATCATTATCAAGTCATCTGATTCATTTCTTTAAGAAAAACTATCTCTTTTAAGCTAGCTCACGTTAAGATTTGTTGAACTACCATCGCTTATTTAATTAGCTGCTCTCAAATTTCTTTGAATTCTTTTTGAAGACCTATTTCTTATTAAATTTACATAAGCACTTATAGGACGATTACCATGAGACAAATTTTAGGTATTGTGAATTGCAATATTCTCATCAGCTGGATCGTATTCAGTCTTCTCAACCTTTTTTTTAACTTGGCTTTTATTCTTTGATCTTTACCTCGATAACTAGTATTTGAAAGTTGTTGATTAAGGTACATTTGTACTTTTTCTTTATTTTTAGAATATATTTGTTGTCATTGACAGTTAACTTGGCATATTAATTACTTGAGCATTTTCTTAATATTCATGTTTTATAAAGGAATTTGCTGGTAAAAATTATGTTTAGTTATGAGTTGAATTTTAATTAGAGTGATATTACAAGTTTTTGGTGGCTAAGGGACTAAAGTCTGTATTTTGTAAAGGGTATTGAGAAAAATTTATATGAATCTATTCTCCCAAATTTTAATTGCTTGAATCACTAACTAAATTAGTTCCACTTTCAATATGAGGATCCTTACTTGTTGAATAAGGCTATGACAAATTTTACTGTATTTTCTTGTTAAAATCTCCAATCAACTTGTAATCTTTATTATATCTTTAATATCTATTATGATACATCAGAGAAAATCCTCCCCCACCTCTTGCTAGCTTTTTTACAGGACCATTTTTATCAGGCTAGTCTAGATTGCTTTCCTTCAATGAGACTTTTGATTATTGATTCTATAGAATTTTATTGTTTTAAAGATCCTTAAATGAATCATTGAAGTGGTTAAACTTTTTTGAATTTTCATTGTAGTAGTCTATCTTAAGATCAATCTTTTAGTTTTCATACTGTCTTGCTATAGAGGATTGGCTTTAAGAGGAAGGGGAATTCATTCTTAAAGCTAGCGTGTTACGACTCTTCATATTCCTTTTTCGTTTCCTATCATTGTAAGTTTCTTGTAGTTTTGTATTTGTAAAGTAAACTTTACAGGCCTCGCCCTATGCTTTTTCTTATATAGCTTTTTTATCTAATCTCAAAACATAACCTTGATGGTTACTGATAAATTGTTAATTACTTTTTTCAGAGTTTTTATTTTTCTAAGCTTTGCTTTCAATCCGTTATATTTATTATGTATTATCAATAATACTTTAAACCAATTTGGTACTCTTATTATCTGCTTAAGATATCATTGTTTTATTTTAAAATTCAGGATTAAACATTGTCATTCGATTTCCACTTGCACTTTATATAGGTCTACTTCAACCATTTATAATTTTTTGAGATCTAATACCAAGGTTAAAATCATCGATTCCCTAGATCGAGTCTTCATCGGGGATAAATTCTTTTTTTCATGATACGGATTAACCGAAAAATGAATTGACGTCTATAAATGACTAGTGGGCAAGCTAAACTTTTTATGGCCTCAGAAAGCTTTAAGATTATGAATTTTTCGTTTCCATTAATAAATTTTTAACAAAAATAGTAAATATCAATGTATTATAATATAAATTAGTATATAAATCATCATTATATTCACTTAGGCTAATTGCTAGCATGATAATTTAATTTCTTCTTCAGCTTCTCATATGCAGCAAGTTTTTGTTGAGAATTAGGAGCACCACCAGCTGGAGTGTTTGTAATAATTTATTATTGAGAAGTTGATATTTGATTTTGATTAACTTGCTTCTTTTAGTTTTGATGAATATTTGAAGATGTTGCAGCTGTATTGCCTTACTTTTTGTTCATCTGTGCTTCAATCTATGCTATAAGTGGCTTATTAGAAAACTGCTATTATGTCTGATATTAGAATTGATTTTGAGAAGTAAAGCTGTTGTTTTAATTGGTGCCCTATGGGAATGGGCTCAAGTTTTAATTCTATATTTGAGATAATTGTTGTTTAGTTTAGGTTGGCTATCCCTTTTCATTCAAAAATTATTTTACGAAGTTCAATTCCTGCTAACCTTAGGATAAATTGTGAGATTTCATGTTCTTTTTGCTTGCATTATTAAGATTTGTGCTCTTCTTTTCAGGATTTATCAGCATATTCATAAGCTGCTAGTTACCATTAATTGGCTAGTTTTGGTATTGGTTACCTTGTCTATCATGAAATTAAGCAACCTAAGACTGTCTTGAAGCAGAGGCAGATGAACTCATTATCACCTATTACGATGTAGAATTTTAAATACTTGCTCCCTTAGATTAAGGTCTGTATTTTTTGCTTATCTAATCGACCACATCTAATTCTTTGGAAGTGGCAATACCTATTGCCTGATTTCCACTTTCATTAGCAAAACTGTTATTTATTATGAAAGTTGGTTTGTAGACATTTAAGTGATGCTTTGGAGAGAGATTTCCTGTACCTGATGAGGCAATAAATGATTGCTAACCAGTTGCTGGTATCTAATTAGCAGAAACAGTTTGGACAACTTGTTATTGGGGTTGTAAATTTGAACCACCAGCAGATTTTTTGCCTGAAACTGCTCTTTACTTTAGATTCTTATATCTTTCTCTAACTTAGTCATCAAATGTCTTTTTATTTGTTGTAAGTTTCTTGTATTCATTAAGCAGTCTTCTTTTAAGCTCATCATAAGCTTAGACATTATTATTAGTTTACTGCTGAAGTGCTCCTTTTTTTTCATTTACTAGGAGCTATACCTAATTTGACTTAGGATTTAGTGTAGAAGTAATCTAATTATTATTCAGATAGTTTAGTTTGGAGTTATTATCGAATGATTTATTTTATTAAGCTGACTTAGGAGGCTACATATGCTAGTATACATTTTAATTAGAATTTTAACTCTTCATGCTTTAATACTATGCCATCTTTTCTGGGGATAACCCGTTCCCACCATTCGATCCACCATACTTTTCATACATAGAGAAGTTCTGGTTCATTTTGTTTATCCTAGATCTCTGACTGTCATGTTTTATTTTCTACAAACCCCCTGATAATGGCCTCTGTGATTTTTTCTTATTTTCTTCTACCTATTATAATTATTACTTTGAATGACTCTATCTCTACTCATAGTGAGAACTTTTATCTTTTTCTGAATCTATAAAATCTGGATCACCAATGCTATTAGTGTTATTGTTAGCACCTCTATGAATGGAGTGGGATGTTTTAGGTCTTTCATTTCTGATGTTCTCCTTATTTCTAAACTTATACAAGTTATTTTAGTTACTATTATGATGAATAGCTTCACTAGCTATCTATTCTTCATCTAGACTTTCCTCACCCAAAATCTATTCATCTAACAATAAATCATTGAATTGACTTGACTCTCCTTCCTCGAGCATTTAGTTATTTGATCCATCTTAGGTCATTTTTAATTTCCTAAGTAAATCAAGCTTGTCAATCTTATTTTCTTTTATCAGCTTATCAAAAAGCTCCTCGAATTTTCTTAATTCGTCTTGGTCATCGAACTAGCCAACGCTAACATGATTTTTGTTGGAACCTACGAGATCCTCATCAATCAACTCATCATACGAAGACTACTGATTCTTCTTTTAAATCACAGTCTTGGCTTTCTTAGTGATATCTCCTGACTTGGACTTTTAGTGAAATTTTGGGGGCATTACTGACCCAGTTATTCCCACTGAGTTTTACTATTGACTCTGTTGCTCTTAATAATCGTTAAAACTTATCATTTAGGAAAGAAATTCATGAGCTATCTAATTTATTGGTGTCATCTGATAAGGTGTAATTGCTATCTCTATGTTCTAAACTTGCCTAATGATAGGTTAGAATTTTGGATTATCTATCCCATTTAAAGGCTTTACTACGATCAAGTCATCATTATTGGGCTCATCCTCCATAATTGTAGTTTTAACTGGAGCAAAGTGTTTTTAATAGGACAGATTAATGTGATTTAGCAACGGACATTCTCCAGGCAAGAAGGTACAGGCAATTTCAAGCGATTTGGCATGCCAGTACTCAGATTCTTTTTATTTAATTAGCGGATCATAAGTGGGATCCTCTTTCATTTGCAAAATGAATCTTATTTCCGTGGAGTAACAGAAATAAGAAACTGCCAGGAAACTTACTTTACCGATAAAGCTATCTCTAGTTAACTCCAATTCATTTTTACCTTGCTCAAGTAAGTCTTTTAATGTAAAGGGTTACAGTTGCATGATACTTCCTATACTTAAAGCAGATGTCCATTCACCTTGATTCAAATATCCAAGTATGTTTTTCATATCGATTTAAAGATTTTATTGATTTTCTTGTAAGTTAATCTCCATTTCATTATCAGAATTTGCATCTTCATTATAAGTATCTATTGATTATAATTTGGTTTTAGTTTAATTAGTTTAAGCAGAGTTAGCATTTTTCATATTTTTCTCAGGAATCATCTTTTTCTTCAGATTTACTAAGATTGGAATTAGTTTTTTAGCTGTTCTTTCAAGATATGACATAGATTCTTCAAGATAATTAACTGAATAGAATGAACTCAAGTTGTTTTGAAATGATTCTTGCCTCTTATGAAAAGCTGCTGGTGGTTTATTAGATCTAAAATCCTCACTTTGATTGGCTTCTTGCTAACTCAAAAACTAAGAAAATGACCTGTTTCTGCTACTATTAGCTTTTTTGTTTGAATTATGATTGTTCGAATAGTAAGAGCTGTAAATGAAATCATTTTCATTTTTCGCTCCATTTCGAGAAATGTTGCCATTACTTTTATTATGATTCAACTAAAAGCTTTGCTCTATTTCTTCCCTCTTGACATAAAATTCTGCTAATTACTTCATATCATTTATTAGCAAATGACTGATTTTGACACCTTCTCTAGCTTGTTCAAGAGCATCCTTATGTCTGTGAACCTGCGATAAAATAGCACAATACTGCATTTTAAGTTTTCCTAGTATTTGCAACTTTTTCATTCGGTTTGATATACTTTTCTCAGAGAGGTTAAACTAATCTAATGGTAGGTATTCTAGTGATTATTCTATACATTAGGCGCACTCATCAAGCATTTACATTTTCTGATAGCAGAGAGCCATGTTGTGAAACAAGATAAAGAGATGAAATTTATCTCTACGGCAAAGATTGAAGTCCACAACGTCCATAATCCCATAAGCCTTCTATAACAGATTCAGAGATTTTTCATACTACTCTCTTTTTATGAATTGAATTGCCGAATCGTTTAACTCTGCTAGAACTATAGGAATTTCATCTTTTGAGACTCTAAGTTCTTTATTGTAATGCTTATTGAAAGTATCATTCTCATTGAAGGTACCTGAACCATTTGCCTAACTATTTGATGAATTAGTTTTCTTAATCCCATTGGCTGAATTACGGGATCTGACTGCAGGACCATCAGCTGCTGGACTATATAAATTTATAATTAGTGTTAAAATGAGAAATTTAAGCTAACTTACACCTATTGCTACTTTTGTTTGCCATTGGCTGCGCCACCAGGGGAATTATTCTACTATATAATGTTGCTTGTAGAGCTCCCTGTGCCAATGCTATTACTATTATTATTTCTCTTCTCCATAAATAACGAATTTAATTAAGCTTATTTTTAATTAATTGTAATATTATATATTATTACTTTATTGCAAATATGAGCTCAAAACTAGCTAAAGCATTTTCACGAGGACAAAAACTTGATAAGGTAGGTATTTAGCGATGAATATTTTCAATATCCCTGCTTAGCAATAATAAGATAATGATTCGATTAATGGCTAACATAATTTGTATAGGACGAGCTATTAGACTTTGTATTCTGGTGCAGATAGATAACAGGATTAGTTTTCGGCCTCGGAGCAGGAATATTAGGATTTACAGGAGTTTATGTCGTGATTACTTTTTTCATTGCATTGTTCTTGATAAGTTATATTTATTACTCCAAGATTCTCGACATTAACGAGGAAGATTTCGAATAAAATGAGCTCTTTATGGAGGGTGTAGGAAACTCTTTCGGACTTTTTATGGTAATTTATATTCATAATTTCCTTTATTACTCAATCATTTACATCACGGTTGTAGTTGTGCTGGATCTTAACCCATACGTTCGTCTGAATATAACGAGAGTTGAAGAATAAATAGACCTTGAAGTTGTCAGAAAACTTAATTTAACTTCACTAATCATATATCTCCTATAAATTTTCATATTCTTAGTTCAGGGGTTTTGGGGTTTTGGGGTTTTGGGGTTTTGGGG